ATCAACGGAAGTCAGGTGATAGAAGGAACATATCGAATGAACCCGTATATGTGTGGTCTGAAATTTTATAGTTCAGGAAATATTTGCAATTTTTTGAAATTTCACACCCTGTACCTAGAGCCTGCAGATTCACTACGAAATAATGATATCCCTGGTTTTATTTTAATAAAAGTTGGTGAATGTATTTATCTTACTGTAAATAACAAGTGAAAAAAATGTCAGCCTAATCAGTTGGACATTCCGGTTTTTATACTGCTTTTTTTTAATTCACTAACGCTCTAAAAATGAATATTTCAGTCGCAGTAAAGAATCAACGTTGGCGGATTTTGGTTCTTGACATCCTTTACGATCGGTTACGATGCCTAGAGTACGGAGACCTGTACGATTTCGTCAACTTAGTGAGTTCGATAGGGGCCGTATAGTGGGACTTCGGGAAGCTGGACTTTCTTTTCGGGCAATTGCAGTTAGAGTGCAAAGAAGTGTAGACACTGTGGTTAGGTGTTGTCAGGCATGGCTTCGAGAAGGCCGTACGCAAAGAGCAAGGGGCACTGGACGCCGCCGTAGAACAACAGACCGTGAAGATCGCCGCCTAAGATTATTGGCCTTGAGGGACCGTTTCTCCACTACCATGTCCATTGCAAATGAAATGTTTGCAATACAATACTGTTCCATTCCTGATCCCAGAGTGACCGTTGTCTGCACCACTCAAGGCGATTACGTCGGTGTTCTCGAGTTAAAGGGAGGACCCAGTGTGGCCGGTATGAAAACAAGCCAAAACTTCTCATTCGTCGGTAAACACTTCGCATGCCAATAGGTCTTCCGTGTTCTGCAAATCATTCATTTGCAATGGACCTGGTAGTGGAGAAACGGTCCCTTAAGGTCAATAATCTTAGGCGGCGATCTTCACGGTCTGTTGTTCTACGGCGGCGTCCAGTGCTCCTTGCTCTTTGCGTACGGCCTTCTCGAAACCATGCCTGACAACACCTAACCACAGTGTCTACACTTCTTTGCACTCCAACTGCAATTGCCCGAAAAGAAAGTCCAGCTTCCCGAAGTTCCACTATACGGCCCCTATCAAACTCACTAAGTTGACGAAATCGTACAGGTCGCCGTACTCTAGGCATCGTAACCGATCGTAAAGGATGTCAAGAACCAAAATCCGCCAACGTTGATTCTTTACTGCGGCTGAAATATTTTTAGAGCGTTAGTGAATTAAAAAAAAACAGTATAAAAACCGGAATGTCCAACTGATAAGGCTGAAAATTTTTTCACTTGTTATTTACAGTAAGATAAATACATTCACCAACTTTTATTAAAATAAAACCATTTAAACTGGGTGTTCGGATTTATATGTCACTTAGTATACATATGTATGTACATAGTTTGTATATGTATCTGTTACTTGCTTAATTTGAAGCATTCACAGTGATTCCATTTAGCATTTGCCACATCCTATACCTACGCAGATAATATTCATGCTGGTATGAATAATGGAATTTTAAATACTACGATGGCGGTTCAATCAGTACCCATGTTTGACGACAGAGGACGTTCCAAAGGGAAGTTAATGTTATCATCGTGTGCTGCCATCTATCAAACGACGGCACAACAAATTTCAGACTGATTGATAGGTTAGTTTGGATTTGGCAGCCACGTGTTTCGTGATTTTCGCCAAGATGGAAAAAGAGCAGTATCGTTCGGTAATTCGCTTTTTGTTTTTGGATGGGAAAAAATGCGAGGAGATAAAAGCAAAGTTGGATGTTGTTTATGACCATCCATGACCACGAATTTAAACGTGGGTGAACATGCGTTTTTGATGAGGATCGGCAGACGTGGTTACCGAGGAAATGATTCAAAAAGTCCACGACATGATTCTCGCTGATCGACAACCGGAAGTGCGAAAAGTAGCAGAGGCCGTAGGTGTGCCGTTATTACACACCAGAAACCAAGCGTCAATCAAAACAATGGATTTCTTCCAGTGAATCGGCTCCAAACAAGGCGAAGACGGTCCCATCGGCCGGAAACGTCATGGCGACGATTTTTTGGGATGCGAACCGCGTCATCCTCGTGTATTTTTTAGAAAAGGGAAGAACGATCACTGGACAATGCTACAGTGAGTTATTGGACTGCTTCGACAAAAAATTGAAGGAGACACGGCCACGATAACGCACCAGCACATTGATCCGGAGTTGTCGCCGCCAAACTGCATGAATTGCGCTGTGAAGTGCTGCCGCTCCCCCCGTATTCACCCGATCTGGCCCCCCGCGACTTTTTCTTGTTCCTTGACATGTAGAAACAGCTCGCGGGGGAAACATTTAGCTCAAACTGGTGTCTTCATTTCCAACACGGATACTTATTGAACCGCACAACAAAGATTGACCTCCGTTGTTGACTAGCTATACGAAAATCATCATTGTTGCCTTGTTGAAAGCACCTGAATCTCTCCGTTTTCACTGTTAAGGACAGGCACGGAATACCGAGAGACTAATGTCAATGTTAAAGGTCAGGAGTAGACGAGAGATTTCAACTTTGTCCTAAAACGGCTGCCGACACAATCTGGCGGTATCGTCGTGTATGCAGGTATCGTGAGGTCACGGTTTGTGAAATTTTTTATATTTCGCGCGGCTTCGTTTTGTCGAGATTTGTAGATACAGAATGATCAGCTTGTGTATTTTTGCAACAAGCGAAGATACTCGTATATACTGAGCAAGGGCGGATTCAACGAACACGAGAGCGAAAAATTAACATTATCGTATGGACGCTAGACGGGACAAAGAAGGATGTCTATAGACTATCTACGTATAGATCGTGTCTTGAGACTGTCTCCAGACAAATTGCGCAACGGGGTCTACTAGTGTAGCTTAAGGATTAATATTCTGCATCTACCCGTTAAACAAATCAAGTAATTGGTTTAAATACTGACACAATCAAGCACTTCTATTATATAAAAATATCAATAGGTATAGTCAATTATTTTTAACAATGCAAACGTTAAAAAAAAGACAGAAAGACAGATCGACGACCTAGAGTGACATGGTTTTGCGTGATGCATAAATATGTCACATTACGTCCAAAAAACAACTCAATATCGAAATTTTTCACAATACTTCGTCGCCATTTTTGGCCTACGATATGCAGTAGCAAGAGTGTGAAAATTCACGATGATTGAAAATACTCATTTTGATTAGTGACTTAATTGAGCTCTTCACGTGTCAATATTGTCTAACTCCCACATTATCTCATTTCAAACCACGTACTTTTGCGAAAAGCTAATGTTTCGTTTGTATTTGAGGACTTGCGCACCGAGTGGAAATCCTGGGACGTTTATTATAGTAGTTTCAGTCCGTAAAGGTGAGGTATGTTTATTTAATAACTATCTAAAATTTCTCTTTAATGGACAGTTGAATCACGTCGTCATTTTATAATTCGATGAAAGATAATGTTATCCAATTTCATATCCATGCAAGTCTGAGACGTGCGTTTCCTCGATTTTATAATAAGGATCGCCTATTCAACACGAAAATCATCGTTAATGAACTTACAATACGTTCCTACACGAATTTCATCTTCAAGCCAATCTATTCACCTGTCACAAGCGATTTTTGACGTGATAATGGGACAGAATATTGTCTATTTTGTACTGTTACGTAAGTTAGTTTTATTCCTTTCCCTAGCAAGTAGAACACGTCTGTCATACAGGAATTCGAATATCATCGTGGAAAATACCTTAAAGGGTCATACTGCCGTATTAGAGGTGAAAAATTGCTAAGAAACCACCATAAATCTGGTTTACAACAAAAAGCCCTTTGTTTAGCGGTTCGCCGATAGATGGCTCGGCATCTACCGAAGAAGCGACCGTGCAGTGTTGCCAAACTGAAAGAAAATGTTTAAAAACTGCTACATTTATACTGAGATTTTGGTCGGGTCAAAAAGACCTACGGAATAAGCAAACATATCCTCTTAACTGTACCCTGGACCACCCATAAATCCTACCACTAAATTCACACAGAATTTGGAATCCACGCACCCAGTTTACCTAGAAAACAAGCTTTCCATCGAGGTCACGAGCAACAGTTTTTGGAAATATTTTAGGGTCATAGTGCCCTATTAGAGGTGAAAAATTGCTAAGAAACCAGTCACCCTGGACCACCCATAAATCTGGTTCACAACAAAAAGCCCTTTGTTTAGCGGTTCGCCGATATATGGCTCGGCAGCTACCGAAGAAGCGGCCATGCAGTGTTGCCAAACTGAAAGAAAATGTTTAAAAACTGCTACATTTATACTGAGATTTTGGTTGGGTCAAAAAGATCTACGAAATAAGCAAACATATCCTCTTAACTGTACCCTGGACCACCCATAAATCCTACCACTAAATTCACACAGAATTTGGAATCCACGCACCCAGTTTACCTAGAAAACAAGCTTTCCATCGAGGTCACGAGCAACAGTTTTTGGAAATATTTCAGGGTCATAGTGCCCTATTAGAGGTGAAAAATTGCTAAGAAACCAGTCACCCTGGACCACCCATAAATCTGGTTTACAACAAAAAGCCCTTTGTTTAGCGGTTCGCTGATAGATGGCTCGGCAGCTACCGAAGAAGCGACCATGCAGTGTTGCCAAACTGAAAGAAAATGTTTAAAAACTGCTACATTTATACTGAGATTTTGGTTGGGTCAAAAAGACCTACGGAATAAGCAAACATATCCTCTTAACTGTACCCTGGACCACCCATAAATCCTAGCACTAAATTCACACAGAATTTGGAATCTATGCACCCAGTTTACCTAGAAAACAAGCTTTTCATCGAGGTCACGAGCAACAGTTTTTGGAAATATTTTATTAGTCGGTTTTTGATAAGTAGAATATTTGCCAGTACCTTGAAAGCGGCACATTTCCGGACTAGGTTGTTACGAATTTTCGATTTATTTTACTTTGATTGTCAGTATATTTTTACTGCACTATAAGCTATTACGCCATTCGTCTATTAAGTAGACTCAAAGTCTAGTCCATCTGTCAAACCGTAACCGTCAAAGACTTGTCCGCTGTCAATCATCACAATGAAATTTTGGTCGCCGATGATAAAGTTCTCGATCTAAATCACAATATATCTACGAAAAATGGCCCTAACGCTATGGAATCTGTTCGAAACGACTCTGCTGTGCCTCAACGCTTTCACCATCATCAACGAAGAGAGAATAGCGAATAGACGTAAGAATTAATTCAAAATATACTAGAAAAATGTTTGGTTCACGTAAATTAGCAATAGGTGCACAGATAAGTGCTTTTCTGCGTTTCTTTGCTGTTAACATGATCTTTGTTTGCTGATCTGTTGGGCAATACTATGTCTTATGTCAATGTGAGAGAATTTATTCCACTCATTTTGAAATCTTGTTAAAAACGGTTTGACTTAGGGATCCAAAAAGTTCTATATGTTTATACTTTATCATCTTTCAATTTAACTTTCTCGGAAATCGATATCAAATTGTACACATTGTCATGGTTTTGTCTCCAAGGCGCCTCATTTCTCGAGGAGTGCCCCAAGGCTCCGTACTCGGGCCACTCCTATTCATTTTATATACTTCTGATTTGCATGCGGCTGTCAGATATTGCGATATTCAATTCTTCGCGCACGATTCACAAATCTACACTCATTTTCATGGTCACAACATTCAAAGTGCTGAATCTGGGGTAAATGAAGATATAAAATTTATTAGTATGTATGCAAAGATGATCCCATCAAGTCATTATCTTTTCACAAAAAATGTTTAGGAGTGATGACGACAGAAATTTAACCTAAACTTGAATGGTGAGACTATAAATAAGTGAATCAGTCAAAAACTTTAGATGGATGTCTACAATTTATACCACATGTAAATAATATCAGTAAGAGTGTCTTTTTTATTCTATTATACCTTATAAACAAATTGTTGACTATAAGTAAAGGTTTTTGTGTGTTCATCTTCCATTTTTCGACTCAATATCTCTCACGCGTCTCCAGAAAATCTAAAACTCATGTTGTAGATTGCTCTTGTCTTCAATACAAACATCAAAACCAGATCGTTTCATAAACCAAAACAATAGGTACAACGTAACGAATAAAACCTCATTAACATTCCAAAAAAGAGGCACGAAATCCAGACTATAATCTCGGTACATCTGTTATACTTTTTTCATTATTAATTGTTGTTCTTCAACAACGCCTGCCATTACATAATCCTCGACTTGATAGTCGCCGCAGTGAGAAAAACCACGTAAAGATTATTACGAGATTACCTCATTTCCCTTTGATGCTGCATAATGTGAAATTTCGAACTGCCAGACAATGATGCGGCTGGTTAGGAAACACAGTTACCTAGTTAGAGACAGAAACTTGTTCACTTGTTCATTATGAATGGTGAACGCTCGCATGCTGAGAAGAAATGAATCAGTCAGAACAAAAAGCTTGTGTCTAATAGTATGAAATATCCAGCAGGCAATAAAAACTATGTCTCTATTTTGTTGGGCTTAATTTAGTATGTGTGCTTGCAAAGATGATGTTGGGACAGTGGAGAGTCTCGAGACCATAACGCGTTCTGATCTACATATAGATGTAATCAAAGTTCGACAGCTTTATTCAGTAGTAATTTTCTGATGTAAGAAATATCATTGATTTTATACACTAATACAATCATCACACAATCATTCAGATACGGTCTTATTACTCAACCAATTTTCTGTCATATCTTCTCAGAGATATACTTTACAGACTCGGCATTATGCAACCGTCAAAGCTTTTAGCGGCATCGTCGTTGGGCATGTCGTCGAGCCATTCTTCCATAGGTGGCGCCGTGTGACGCTCACAGCGCTCATAGTGAGCGATAGCGCAATGAACTATTTGCTATCTAGTCAACAAGTTGACGTTTTGTCGTTTTTTTTACGATACCTCAAAAATTTCCAGCATTTTATAGATTAATTTGGGTATGCATAATTCGTTTTATTATTTTTGCAGTTGATGTAGAAGGAGGAAAAACAAAATTGTCTTTTGAAAAGGATGGAGCGAAAATGCAAGTGTATAATTTCGTCCACTCTATCAGTACGATAGCTAAATGTAAGTACAGATGGACAAGCTGAAAAATTCGTATGCTTTTGTCCACAAACCTGCAATTATATGGTCCACAACCAGAATAATTACAAAATAATATTTAAACTACTGTACCACATTGTTATTAATCTTATAACTTTAGAATTTTTTTCGTTTATATCATAATATTTTTTTCCAGTTCCTGTGATTCTTCTGAACATCATTACAATCCTGCTGAAGCTGATACTGGTCTCCTGAACATATTTTGCGTTTACAAGGTTGAGGCTTACTTGTACATAAGACTATGTTATGTAAACAAATTGTTTTGCAAATAAGTATTTAGCACTATAATGGAATTTTAGTAAACGTATGACATATTCCGGTTCTGTTATCTGTGAAAATGTCTTTGGAAGTATCGACAATATAATTCAAAGAAAGTTGGTACTGTTCAAGGATCAGCTATCACATCCCTTGCTTAATTTTCACTGAAATGCTGCAATGGGTTTTTGAGGAACAAAAATTTGGTGACAGCAGAATCGAAAAAATGTAACGCATTTTCCTGAAATAAATTCATTTAAAAAATAATAATTATATCTCCAAGCTTAATTTAAATATGGCTTGGTTTTTGTTTGTTTAAGATTCATTCTGCATGATTGCTACAATTACATTCATTTAAAAACAACAACAATTACATAACATACAAATATTCAGGAAAATAAATCACAAATGTCGTTAATGTATGAAATAAATAGTAGTGGCCCCAGTTTACAGCCTTGCGGTACACCGACCGAAATATTTTATGAGCTGGATAATTTAGACCCAATTATGGTTTTTTAAGCTGTGTCAAATAAGTAGTGTTGTAGTATTTTGAATACAGATCCTTTAAATCCATAGTAATGCAATTTATCCCTGTCAATAGTTTCAAACACCCTTTTAAAGTTTAAAAGCACTGCAAGCATAATTTAGGTGTTCATTATTAGACTCGAAACAGCACACTGCATTTCTTTTGAAATCAAATGCATAAAAAAATCTGTTTTCCCATGAGAACCGTATTAGGTCCGTTCTCTCTTTCGAAAAAATAATGATACCCAATGATGTCCGTGAAGACTGAAGCAGATCACAAGACATATACAGATAAATTCATTTCTTAATGAGGCCATAAACAAAAAGGATTCAAGATTTACGATTACTAAGAGAAATAAATTTATGGTAACTTTAACACGGCAACTTGCCATGCGACCTCTTGTAATGTTAGTTGCCTAACAAAATACATGCGGTTTCAGTCTGGCTTGGAGCTAATGAATGCTAAGTATATGGTATAATAGTCCAGGAATTGCAGATAGCTTTCAAGTTTTTTTTTTCGGAAAAAATCCCCCCCATTTTTCTATCGCAAAACGGTCTCCACAAGCTCAGGTTCAGAATTAAGATTCAAATTCGTTGTACGGTCGATGACTGTTAGTGTGGCATACTGGAAGGCAGCATTATTGCGCCATATTTTTTCGAGCAATTCCTGAACGGCAATTTCTTTCTCGCCTTTTTGGACAATCGATAACCGTTGCTGGAAGATGTGCCGCCGAAAACACGGCAAGACTTATTTTAAATAATAATATATTTATATATATATATATATATAATATCGGTTAATGTTTATTCCCAGAGAATATATCAAACCTTGCACGTTCATTTACAATTTCCGTCGTTACAGCCGTATTTTCAATCGTACACAATAAGCACAAGTAACAGAATCAGATTTTTCCTTACAATGAAGACTGCTTATTCTTTACGATGCCGTCAGCAATCCAAGGAAAAATCACCGCTACAACGTCCCTCAGATTTCGATTCTCACAATTTATAAAGAAGACAAGTAGTAAGGCATATGTTAATCAATATTAGGAGAGAGAGAAATTATGGAAAAATTAATGATTTGTTTACACACTGCTCAAGTTAATCACTCCTTTCAGAGTCCATTCGTATATTTCTTATGCGAAGCTTGGAATCGGTGTTATTTCGATGAAGAATCTTTTATATACCTTTATGAATCATCAAAAAATATCTCGTACTTTCAAACTAAATAGGATACAGGTGCACGCTTCCGTATTTTGGCAAATGTAAAACAGGAACAAGGCAAAGATAGATTATCTAGCTTAAATTAATAAAATGTAATCTCCCTAATATAAATATTATCTTTGTCTATCCAAACTTTCCGATATATGTACGTAAAATTGATTTATTATCGGATGCTTTATATGCGACGTACGCGATAAATAATGATAAAATGTTACACGAAATTATATGTTGATATGTTCTTGGAACGGAGTAACTTTAGCATTTTTTCGTGATGTTGATCTATAGGATTTTTATAACCCTGTGATGATCAAGTTGTTACTAATGCACTGATATCTTTAATATTTAGGTACATCCTTAATGTTGTTCTTAGGCAATGTCAAAAATGTAGTTTTTAGGAATGGCTAGCCCACCCACGGATATGTTGATGCTTTTCAGTAGCAGCAAAATTCCAAAATAAATAATATTTGGATTTCAACTGTATCTCGTTTGGTAATGATAGGTAATTCCGACGATTCGTACATTTCATTGCAAATTCACTATTGGGATATCGGAAACGGTTAAAGACAGCAAGTCGGCCAAATAGGGCCAAGTTTATAAATGGCTTTTCTAATGTTCCGAAAAACAGAGTATCTTTGGGAGAGAAATAAATTGCAGTTCCTCTACAAGGTGGTATAATCAGAACTCCAATCTAAGATATACAAAAAATAATATTTTCATAGTTTACCGATTAAATATACAGTGCTCCAATTTTTGAAAAGCATATTCAGATAATTTTCCCACTTATCGACTATAACAAGCGTTATTTTAGCACTCTACATGACATATGAGGCGTAGATGATTAATAGTATCTGAATGCAAGATATGTGCATCGGTTTAGATATGACGGCTATGTTTTTAGGAACGTTCGCACAAGCTCATACTGTTTTTAATACTGCCCTTAAATAAGATTAAAAAGTTTTAGCAATGTTGTTTTTTGTTCGATAAGATGGACTATAGAACGATTATTTTTTATATGTTTGAAGTTTTGTAATATATATACAATATCATATCATCAAAATCAGAAATAGGGACCATATGAAACAGATGAATATCTGATAATTTCAAGGCTTACTTAGAAAATAATGTTTTTTTTGGAAATAACTAAGGTTTGTTAATGTCAATCTATGACATGTTATACATTTCTGGAATCAGAATAAAAAATTCATGAATCCAATATAGCGTCTATATAAAAAAAGTTGATAATTGAGATCAAGGAACAAAATGTTTTGTTGAAATTTTAATTACGCCACTTTGTAGAAGCAAAGCTAGTTAACTTTTTGCTTTGGAATCCAATCTCAAATAAAGCCGGAATAAAATCAAAACAATTTTAGAAAAATTCATTTTTTTTTCTTCGAAAATTCTCGACCATTTTCTACCGCTTCCGAAATCGCAAAGGCGACAGTCGATTTTGGAACACCCGGTATGATGAGTCTTCGTTGGATTTCAACATGAGATCCCGAAATTTTATATTATGGACTTTAACCGTTATCCGATCACCCGGTAATTTGACTGGTGTTTCTCGGTACTATAAAGTAAACGACCTTGGATACCTGAACGTTGCCCCATACAATAGGAAGTGAATCCCTTGAAGGCGAGGCGCTGACATGCCTAGGCTATGAAACATGGGTAACCCCTCGCAATAGGGGTGAGTAGGTACTGTTTTCGATATATAATATATATATATATACAGGGTGGCCAAACACGTGACGTCATAAAAAAAAAATTAGATTCCCCACATCGAGAGGAACCCAAATCACCCCCATATATATGGTCCGATTTTGTTTAGTTTGAGAGTTATGATTTTTTTTCGGATTTTTCGAGAATTTTTGAGTTCTGTGTTTATTTTTACCATAACTTCGTTAATAATTGTGATAAATGCCTGCTTTTTTCACGATTATGTAGCTAAGACCTAAGGCTTAACTATCATATAATCATTCAAGTCATGTAACTAATACTACTTTTTAATTTTTTTCAAAATCTTCGAACATAACAAAAAAGTAAAAAAGTGCAACAACTTTGAACGTTTATAAAAAATTGAAAAAACATGTTCTTACTATTCGTAAGTATCTTAAAAACTTCCTTACGGTATCAGCTATTTACCGTAAAAATTCAATCAACCTAGCTTTACTACATGCTACCGTAATTGTGGCTCAAATAGAACCGAACCCAAAATTGGATAACCCTCTGCTCAATAGAAATTGTTAGTTTCGGAAAAAAAATTTGCAAAAACCACAAAAACACGTTTGATTTTTACTGAACAGCAGATTATTATTCATTTATGTTATTTACAAGAGGTTTTCAAAATGTCTGCCTCTAACAGAAATGCACAGTGTACACCTACGTATGAAATTTTGTTTTAAATCTCTAAATGCTTGTGTGTTGTTTTTCAACACATGTGTCGCTTCTTGAATTTTGTTCCTCAATGAATTTTCATTTGCACATTCTTGGGCGAATGTTATGTCTTTAAAATATCCCCAAACAAAAAAATCAATGGGGTTGAGGTCAGGGGAGCGTGGAGGCCATCGTATCGGTCCGTTTCGTCCGATCCATCTGTCTGGGAACCTTTCGTTTAAGTAGTTTCGCACGATCGTTGCGTTGTGGCATGGTGCACCATCATTCTGGAACACCATGTTCCGTCTGGCTTCCAGGCTTGAATCTTCCAGCAATAATGGTAGGCTATTTTCAAGGAAGCTTTTGTAGGCTACCGAATCCAACCTTGACGGCAGTTCAAATGGACCGATAAATTCCATATTGAATATTCCTGACCACATGTTCACACTAAAACGGTGTTGAAATGTCGACGGCCTTGACTGGTGGGGGTTTTCAACAGCCCAAGTATGTAAATTATGGATATTGAATATCCCTGTTCTTTCAAAACGTGACTCGTCAGTCCATAAAATTTTACCAAAAAAATCGGGATCCTCTCGTTGTCTTCGCAGCATTGTCTCGCAGAAATCCACTCTTAACTGGTAATCTGAAGGCATCAACGCTTGAACTCTTTGAACATGATATTCATGATAACCTTCTTCATGAAGAATATTTTGTATCGATGTTCGTGGTATTCTAAGGTTTTGTGCCTTAGATCTCGTACTCGTTGAGGGATTCCGGCTAATTTCTTCAAGTACTACTTCTCTGCGATCCGGATCAGCTGTAGGATATCCTTCATTGCTTCCTCGTCCTGGAATGCGGCCTGCCAAGCCTGTTCAAGCGTTGATGCCTTCAGATTACCAGTTAAGAGTGGATTTCTGCGAGACAATGCTGCGAAGACAACGAGAGGATCCCGATTTTTTTGATAAAATTTTATGGACTGACGAGTCACGTTTTGAAAGAACAGGGATATTCAATATCCATAATTTACATACTTGGGCTGTTGAAAACCCCCACCAGTCAAGGCCGTCGACATTTCAACACCGTTTTAGTGTGAACATGTGGTCAGGAATATTCAATATGGAATTTATCGGTCCATTTGAACTGCCGTCAAG